TCTTCCGACTAGAGTAATCGGTTCCGAATACCAATTAAACACATATCACCACAATGATATGGCTAACGAGATCTCATATCACATATGTGTCATGGACCCGCATTTACATGCCGTCCCCCATGATTTGGGACTATCTATGGATGCTATAATAGATTCTCAAATAGAACATTCGTTCACATAATTAAAATAACATTTCAGAAATTATAACTTATTGCATAACAGTTGAAACATAGTTCATATCAACATATCTTTACAGAAATGTTACTTACAGTGGGCTTCCAGAACGGTTGGTCAAGCAGTCCTTGACTCGTGACCTACAATCACAAATATGCATAGTATGATACATAATCATCTTAAACATATTTAGTTCACTTAAGCGTTTAAATATGGATGGCTAGAATTAAGAATTAATTAGATTATTAATTTTCTTTAACCTCTAATTAAAACATGTTTAGTCTTGTATTAACCAAACTAATTAAATATAAATAATCTAATCATATACCAACTCTTATTAAGTTCACTAATTACACAATTAAACTTAAATTATGCTCATACAGATTAAATTACAATTATTCAGTCATGTTTAAATTACTGAATCAGAAACTCATAAACATATAAATTTCGCAATTCAACTTCAATTTCAAGGCCCGAAACTCCTTCAAAAACACTTTGAATTCACAATTTCCAAGTTCAAACAAAAATCATGAGTTTAAAACAACCTCAAATTGCCATGAAGAAATCAAACCCTCACTTTATTATGTACATGTATGTAAATGTATAAAACATGCAAGTGTGACCTCTAAAACTCAAGCTTCCATGGAATTCCCTCTGAATTGAAGACCTATGCAAGAATTCAAATGGATAAAAACAAATTTCCATAAAAATCATGCCATGCATATAGAATTTGGGAGCTAAAACACTCATTCTTCACATATGAACTCATGCATGTAACAAGCTTTTCATTACATGAACCCACTTCAAATAAGTTCATATTTTCTTGCCTAATCTGAAATTCTTTAACTTAAGGGATTAATTCTTCAACTACATTCTAATTCATTAGATTAGGGAGGAGAATCCTTACCAAAAGGGAGTGAATTGTGAGGGGTAGAGTGTAGTAGCAATGGTTTCTTCACTTCACTTTCTTTTCTTCTTTCTTCTTGGGTTGAGTTTACACTCTCAAGTCTATCTTCCTCTCTCTCTACGTGTATAGTGTGAAGCCATCCAATAAGACCCACTAGCTCTCTCATCTAAATTCATTTGATGAGTATGAAAGACACTAGGCTCAAATTAAATAGATTAATAAATTAAGTAAAATTACCTAAGGCTAAGAGATTAATTAAGATTAATTTGACTCAAAGTAAATTAGTCTCAACATCTTAAAATCTTAATTACACTAAATTAAATTATACTAATGTGTATTAAGCTCTAATTCCTATTCCATTATTTAATTCCAACCTATTAAAATTAGCGAATCAGACGGAATCAATTTTTAATTAAACTTCCCAGATAACTCTAAAAATTCCAATTAACATATCCACTACAAGAAAAAGCGTTTTTGGCGACCAAAATTTCATTTTTCGTCGCTGAAAGTAGTAGAAATGGCGACTAAAATGGAATTAGTCGCCAAAATTGAACACTTTTGCCGACTAAAAGACTTTAGTCGCCGAATACAATGGTTTTAGCGACTAAAAGGCAGTTTAGTCGCCGAATGTAGGGGTTTTAGTGACTAAAGGTTGTTTAGTAGCCAAAAGTGACGGTTTTTGGCGACTAAAATAATTTAGTAGCCAAAAGTGATGGTTTTGGAGACTAAAAAGCAGATTGGTCGCCGATTGTAGGTGTTTTGCCGACTAAAAACAGATTGGTCGCTAAAAGTGAAGCTTTTTGGCTACAAAAAAAAAATTAGTAGCTAAAAACTGAGTATTGGCGACTAAAATTTAGTTTAGTAGCCAAAGGGGGACGTTTTTTGGCGACAAAAAATAGGTTTCGTCGCCAAAACTACAGATTTTTAATTGGAACTTCTTTTTTTAGCGACAAAAAAATAATTAGTAGCCCAAAATAATAAAATTGGCGACTAAATAATGGTTTTAGTCGCCAAAAGTGGGCTAAATTTTTTTTTAGTAAATAATTTATTTTTTACATAAATTATATTTGAATTAAAAAAATTATATTTATAAATATTATTTTGTATTAATAGCGGTTAATATATATATATAAATAATATATATTGCATATATATTAATGTGATGATGTTGTGGCATAGTGGAGGGAGTGTTTGGCAAAAGGTTTGGAATGTAGTGGTGGGATGTCTTAGGTTCGAAACCTGCGAGCAGCATAGGTTCAAATTTTTTTAAAAAATATAAATGAGCTTTGGCGACGAAAATTTTAGTCGCTACAGAGTTTGTTTTTGGCGACTAAAAGTGGGTTAGTCGCCCATACCTTCTGCGACAGTTTTCCAGCGACAAACATGGCGACTAAAAAATTTAGTTGGGAAAACCCAAAATCCGACTTTTGGCGACTAAAAAATCACTTTTGGCGACTAAAAATTTAGTCGCCAAATGTGTATTTTCTTGTAGTGATCCATGTACTCAATTTTGATTTATGAACCCATTTATGTCATCAATTTCAATTCCAAAGTTGTATTCTTAACAAATAATTTTCCAATTTGGACAAATATACACAAATTAAATCATATAATCCGCAATTAACACATGGATAATTCAGTTAATTATAATTTGCATTTTTGGAGTGTTACATTACTCGAGCGAACTGCCCTATTTCTAAAATTTTGCTAAGTGTTTTCAAAGAGTATGATTGCATCCTAGGCATTCTTGAACTTTGATTAAGCTATAACAATGAGAATAGGAATTAGAAACACACCTAAAAAGAAATGTAATAAGTTAAGAGATTACAGAGAGTGTGTCAATGTGTACAAGCAATGTGATATGAGAGAATAAGAAGCTAATGTAAGGAAAGTTAAACCATGTTGTCTATATGAATGTGGAATGATAAGACATGTTTTGTGTTATGTACATTTGTGATTGTAGATCAAGATTTGGTGACCGATTAGCCGTTTCTGAAAACCCATTATGAGTAACGTTATTGTAAAGACATGTTCATATAAATTATGTTCGAAATGTTATACGATAAGTTATGATTTCTGAAATGTTATTTTGTAAAAGTGAATAAATGTCCTATTTTGAATCTACTATGGCATTCAAAGATAGTCTCAAGTCATGGAGGACAACATGTTAATGTCAGTCCATGACATATATGTGATTACGAGATCTCGCTAACCACTTGACAAAGTGGTGTTATGTTTGATAATCGGTGTCCGGGACCGATTACTCTAGTTGGATGTCGATATGTTGTGTTCTATTGAATGTACCATTATTATGTTCAAATATGAGAATGATTATGTTATGATTTGTTCTATGATTATAAAATGTTTAGAATTTGTTCACTAACCTTTTTTTCCTTAATGTTATTCATTAGGTTTTAGCTCACTGTTTATATATATATATATATATATATGTAGGTGAGCAAATGCAAGACCAAGCCTAATTGCACCTGTCTAGACTTATGTTTTGTCAGCCAACCTTAGTGCCTCATGAGGAGGTTCCTAGAAAGATGTTTTGTGATTAAGTCTTAAGCTCTTCTTGTTTTTTGTTTATTCTGTATACAGGGCTAAGTCCTTTTTTGTGGTATTTGTATATGGTTAGCGTAAGATTGATGATGTTTTGATATATGTATGTAAATGATTAAAAAAATATGTCCCATATAAGTCAACACAACTCATTGGACAATTATCTTTTTAATATTTGTTTTTGCTAACCTCTTATTTTACTAATATGTTAAGAGGCCTTCGGTAATCTTAGAATTACTGACTGGTTACGACGCTAAACCTATAGGGACAAATTTAAGTCGTGACACTTGTGTCAGTTGCGGACATAAGCGGGAGCAAGAGGCGCGTTGGTCGTGTTTGGAAGCGACACAGCGCGTGGCCAAACTTAGGGCTGCGCATGGCGGCTTCGATAAAGATGATTCTGATGACGTTGGATTTGTCTTGAAGAGATGAAGAGTCTGGTATAGTCCAATCGTTGCAATAGAGAAGGACTAGATACGCAGAAACAAACGTGAGAATGAATCAGTTTACCGGAGAGACAGAAACGTGAAGAAGAAAATGAGGCTAGGAGGAAACCATAGGCTCTGATATTATGACAATAGAGAGAGAGAGAAATAGAGAATATAACTCTGTATATTTTAATGAATAAATATAAGTGAATACAAGACTCTTATAGATATATACAGCTAATTGGGCCTTGCAAACTTCACTAATTGGTCTTTCTGTAAACATTACAGAAACAAATTGGCTGTGCTTAAACATTACAGAAACAAATTAGCTGGTCTTTTTGTACGCTTTCAAGTGCTTTAACATTTATGCATGTTTGTTGGTTGAGGGATGAGCAACTCTAATATAAATAGAGAGTTCTTCTTCAAAAAACACATGCTCTAATGAGCTCCTCATATCTTTTCCCTATTTCGGAAACAGTACAAATCATTCGACAATTTAGGTAGGCTTCAGGGCCCCTTCAACGTTTAGAAAACATTTATTTCTCTCTTCTCCTCCTGTCTTTCCAAATCACTTAAATGGAAGAATATTTTAAATTTTATAAAAATGATAGAAATGGGTATTTAAATAGAATGGAGAAAAAATAGAGCGTATTGTTAGAAAATTGTATGATTTATTTTTAGAATTATTATTATCGTTCATTTAAAAAAAAGAAATGATAAAATAATTATATATATCGAATTAATTTAATTTTTTTTTTTTAGGAATAATTCATCTAAAACAGTGGTGAACCTTTAAATAAATATGATAAAATAATTATATTTATCGGATTAATTTAATTTTTTTTATAGGAATAATTCATCTAAACCGTGGTGGACCCACAGCTCCACACAGCGTTGTCGAGAGATTCCCTTATTTTGTTGCTTACATCATTGCTAGCGCATTTTGCGCATTACCTTAAGAGCATAGAAAAATTATTCTATGGATTTGGGGGCAATGTTACAAATTAATTTGGACTATTCATCCTTTACAGTTTGCAGTGAATAATTGCTCGGAAGAGTAAGCTTGGGGTTAGGAATAAGAATTTCAATTAGTAGTATTTACGCTGCTTTGTTGGAATCAAGTTGAAGGCAAGTCCAGCCACCAGCAAAACAGCACTCCCCAAAAAAAATGGTAGATAAAATTTTCAAGAAAGAACTTGTGAGTTGGTACCTCATCACCCTCAAACTCAAGGAAACTGTAAGAGCCAGAATCCAACAAAGTTCAACTCCTACTGGTACTACTACAACCCCATCAATTGAATACCCAGAAAACCACCAGCAACAAAGTGGGATTCAGCTTGAAACTGGTCAGAATTTTGAAGAGGAGGCCAACAAACCACCAGACCATTCGGCGTGGGTGATCAACATCAAAGAAAAACTCGACCAAGCCCGCCAAGAAAACGAAACAGCTGTCTGGGCAAAGATGTGCATCTACAGAGTCCCTCAGTGCCTGCGAGAAAAAGAGGACAAAGCCTACATCCCCCGAACCGTCTCCTTGGGGCCTTACCACCACGGTCAGAGACACCTCCGCTCCATGGACCGCCACAAGTGGCGCGCCCTTCACCGTGTCCTCAAGCGTACCCAACATGACATTAATCTATATCTGCACTCAATTAAAGGGCTTGAAGACGAGGCCCGTGCTTGTTACGAAGGCACAGTTACTCTCAGCAGCAATGAATTCGTGGAAATGATGGTGCTCGATGGTTGCTTCATACTGGAGCTGTTCCGAGGGGCTATTGAGGGCTTCAAGAAGCTCGGCTACTCCCGGAAGGATCCGATCTTCGCGATGCGTGCCTCGATGCATTCGCTTCAGAGGGATATGATAATGCTCGAAAACCAGATTCCCCTCTTCATACTGGATCGTCTGTTAGGGCTCGAGAACGGCAATCCTGACCAGAGAGGACTGGTAGCCAAGCTAGCAATCCAATTCTTCGATCCGCTAATGCCAACCGATGAATCATTGGCGTCATCACCATTATCACTCGGATATGCAAACTTCGATCCATTTGCAGACCAAGGCGGCCTTCACATCCTCGATGTTTTCCGGCGAAGCCTCATGCGTATCGGGCCTAAACCCGTACCGAAAATGTGGATCAAGCGGTGGTCGTCGCAGACAAACAGGGTCGTCGCCGACAAGCGCCAGCAACAATTGGTCCACTGCGTGACTGAACTGAGAGAAGCAGGGATTAAATTCGAGAAGAGGAAAACCGACCGGATTTGGGACATAAAATTCAAGGATGGGACTCTGAGCATTCCTCGGCTGTTGATCCATGACGGTACCAAATCGCTCTTGCTCAACCTCATTGCGCTGGAGCAGTGCCATCTAGATTGCAGCAACGACATAACTTCGTATGTGATATTCATGGACAATTTGTTTAACTCGCCGGCGGATGTGGCTTACCTCCATTACCACGGCATAATCGAGCACTGGCTCGGCACTGATGGTGAAGTAGTGGACCTCTTCAACCGCCTTACGGACGAGGTGGTTTTCGACGCCAATGGAAGTTATCTTTCACGGTTGTCGGAGCAGGTGAACCGGTATTACAATCACAGGTGGAACGCTTGGCGTGCCAGCTTGAAACATAATTACTTCCACAATCCCTGGGCTATCTTATCCTTTGTTGCTGCTGCGGTCTTGTTGGTGATTACTTTTGCTCAGACATTTTATGGAGTTTTTGCCTATTACAGACCTCTTTCTTGAGTATTGAGTTCAGAACATCTGATTGTGTATTCACCAAAATGTATTTTGTAATTTCTCTATCATTTCTTTTTCAGAGATGGTCGTCATACGCTGCAAATATCTTAAAACATTATTAATGAAAGCTTGAATTATAATTATCGGCGTTTACCAATGATGATCCATGCCAAACTTATATGTTTGATTTATGCTTGGGTTCGAAGACCATTTTTCCCTTACAAAATAAATACTCTCTTCGTCCCAAAATATTAGTCCCTTATTTCATTTTTTATTGTCCCAAAATATTAGTCCCTCTTTATAAATCAAGTACAAAATAATGTAAATTTTCTATTTTGTCCTTCTTTTAAATTAATAAACAATTTAAAAAATATAATTATGACATTGATATTCCTAAAAAATGTACTATCGAAAGGGTAATTTTAGAAAATCAACTTTTTTCAAATCCAATAAGTGTACTACCCAAAAAAGTTGAATTTCTCAAAAAGGACCAATATTTTGGGACGGAGGGAGTAATTCATATTATTAAAATATGACAGTAGTGGGCCAGCCTTCCCCTCCGATTCAAGATTTGGAGGGGACTGTTCACGCTCATGTGTTTAATACAAGGTTTGTTTTAATTTTTCAAATTGTTCAAATTTATATGGCCCTTCATATATGAGAGGGAGATTTTATAATCTGCCATTGGACCGTGGTATTGGCTGAGCAAATTGGGCCAAACTAGTTTGGGCCGAGCTTCGTTGGGCTAATCTGGTGGTAGTGCACTCGGTCGAGGCCCAGGTCCAATTTGGCTGGGGTAATTTCAGACTACGGGCCCGGTTCACTTTATTTGCTCGCTGAGTTAGGTGGGTCAGATCCTCCGCAGACCAATCCAACCGAGCAAGAGCTCAGTCATAGCGGATGGCGATTGAGCCGCAGTGGAAGTAATGCATGTCATAACGGAGCTTAGTCATAACAGAGGGCGGCCAAGCTCGGTCATGACAGAGCTCGGTTCAGAGCATTGCATGTCTCAGAAGTAGTGTGGTCGTAGGAAGAGGGGGTGGCGCTGGGCTATCCGTTCGCGCCAACGCTGTTTGGCGATTCGGTTAAGTGGTGTTTAGCTGTATTTACGCTGACACGTGGGAAAGTGAGATAGGAGAGCAGGTCCACGCGTCAAAAGGTGAATGAACGCAGAGGCACGCGCAGAAGGTATATGAGCGTGACTGCGCCCCCATACTGAGGATGGAAGATTAATTGGTGAGAGAAACTTAACATTCATAGAGCTCTCCTATCTCTCTCTCTCTCTCTGAGTGTGCTAACTTGACCGTCGGAGGGGTTTTCCGGAAACACACCACCGGGTAGCTCACCGCCGTTGTGTTTGCAGATCAATCGAATAGAAACGGAGCTTGGACGCAAGGAGTACGGAGAGCGACGGATATTTCCTCCCCGTACAATATATATTATCTATATAAAAAATTAAATCGATTTGATAATCATAATTTATTTAATTTATTGCATTTTGTTTTCAAAAAAATAAACGGCAACTGTAGTTTTAAAAATGGACAATCTATTTTTTTTTAGGCCTCGTTTGGGAACATGCTTTTTTTGAAACTTTTTGGCCTTTTAGCTAAAATGTAAAAACTAGTATGTTTGGGATGATTTTTTGACTTTTTACGAAAAGATGTGTAGAAAGTAGAGAGAAAATGAAATCTTTGACTTTTTGATATGGGTTGTTGGCTTTTTAGTTTTTTAGTAACTTTTTTTTTAATTTTTTAGCTAAAAAAGGCACTTGCCAAACGATATCTTAGTAACAAACATGAATAAATTAAATTATTAAATCGATCTTTTTTTTTTTTTTAAATTTGTGTGTGGCTAATATCAACAAGGAAAATGATATATATGCTACTGTATATGACTCGCCGACTCATTCTTTAATAGGCACGTGGTGAGAGCCCCAGGCTTCTCTCACCGCTTGAGAGCTTACGATTTTATGTTTTATTTCACTCCTCGATAGAACTCTTTTTACCCTTTCTTTATGGTCAAATTTTTGGGCCCGAATAGAAATACTCTATAAACAAACATTCTTGTAAAATAAATAATTCATATTATTAAAATAGGGTCGTGGTGGCCTCCCCTCCGATTCAAGATTTGGAGGGTGTTGTTCAGGCTCATGGTACCCAATACAATTTTCGTTTCAATTTTTTGAACCGCTGCGGGGGCAATTGAGGAGATTTGGGGCGATCAAGTCATGTCGATGCAATGCTTCGTGGCAATCAACAGGAGCCGAGCTGCCAAAGGCTTCGTCCAAATGATAGAGGGACCGGAAGACTGAGGAGTCCTTGACGATGTGGGCACTAGGGCCGAGGACAACGCCATCGAAGAATTAGTAGAAGTGCGAATTGATACAGAGAGTCCGAACAGATTCTTCTTGCTCGGCTCAAGCCTTAACGTACAAGAAAGGACCAAGATGGTTGAGTTTTTGATGGCCAATATTGAAGTCTTCGCATGGTCCCCTTATGACATGCCCGGCCTCGATCCGAGTTTTATTTGCCATCACCTAAACATCTTTCCCGGAGCCAAGCCGGTCATTCAGCAAACGAGGAGATCGGGGTTCACGCCAGTGAAGAGGTAGGAATGCCTCCACCCCGTTTTTAGATATTTTATTGATGTTTTATTTTAAAATTTTGTTCATATTATATTTAATTTCATTATTTAAATGTTAATAGATGTTTTATTTAATTTCATTGTTTAATTATTATTATTTTTAAAAACAAATTTATTTAAAATTTTAATTAAAAAAATATATATTTTTATTGATATTTTATTTATTTTATTTTAAAAAATAAATTTATTTAATTGTGTAAAAAATAAAATAAAATAAATTTTTATTTAATCTAGCTAAAAATAATTGAAATATTAAGATATGTTTAATATTGCTATTACTTAGTAAATAATTGAAAAAGGATAAAATAGTCTTTTGTTCATTTATTCTATCCAGTCCGTTCAACCAAACGTTAGATTCACGAAAAATAGTTCTTTCCAGATATCTAATTTCATGAAAAAATAAACACGGGATACATATCCAATCCAACCAAATAGTTCAAGAGATTCACAGTCCCAGGACTCAAGTCCGATGAATTCTAATCCCCCTTATCCAGTCCGTCCAATCAAACACACCCTTCATGCATGTGTATTGTTTACATAAAAAAATAAGTCGATTTGATAATCATAATTTATTTAATTTATTACGTTTTATCTTTTAAAAAATAAACAGTAACTGTATTTTTCAAAATTGATTTTTTATTTTTTTTGTGATAAATATAATAAATTTAATAATTTACGATTATTGAGTGGATGTATTTTTTTATGGGCCCATGGTGGACCCGCCCGGACGAAGAAATCCGGTCCTTTTTTTTTTCATGTTTTTTAGTTTTGTTTTTTTCTTGTAAAAGTCAGGATTATTATTCTAGTATAAAACAAACAAACAAAAAAATATATATATTACGTAGAGAATTGTTTATGAATAACATGAATGCAACTCATTAATGTAATTAAATAATAATAAAAATACGATTATAACTAGCTGTACAAGGCCTTTTAGCATTATTGGAGGAAAACACTTGGTCTGAATGAAATGAGAAACACTTGGTCCAAAACAATCCAGAAACTTGAGACGTGTCTTCTACATATACTACACCACAGAACCCTACCTTACACTTTAGGGCCGTGGTTTACCCCAGCCACTTCCCAAGTAAAAGTGGACCCCACATACAACTAGTAACGCAACTCCAACTCAACCCTATTCGCCAAACCAAATCTATCGTCTTTTTTGATGCAAAAACCAAATCTATTGTCCCGTGACGTGACAGTGATATCAACTGCAGTCTGCACGGGTAAATAAAAATTATTCCACTCCTCGTGGGCATCATCAAGTGATGCATTACCACTTCGGTGATTGATGAAAAGTTAACGGTTTTGTGTTAGTGGCCTATACTTTCATGATTACATTGTCAAAAAAGTCAATCATCTAATAATTTTTTTTTTTTTTTATATTAATAGATTGAGTTGGAAATTGAACCTTTGAAGGGAAACAGCTTGTCAGTGTATATGCAAGCATTTACATTTTGATTTATGTTTATAAAAAATTTATAAATTAATTTTTATTTATTTTTTAAATAATATAAATTATAAATTTGTTTAGTTTAAAAAAAATATTTGAAAATTTTTAAAAATATATTTATTCATGTCTAAAATATTTATATTTATTTTTTTATTATTTTATGACAATGAGATCATCCACATTATAATTGAAAAAAAAAATTATTTAAAAAAAATCAATTGAAAAAAAAAATTGTTAATCAAATTTTCAAATTTCTGTTTAAAAACAAACGTAAACTCATTTTGTGAGTTTACGTTTTTTTCTCAAATTTGTAAATTGAGATAATCATTTATAAACTTAAAAATTATCAAATAAATTTTTATAATAATTTTTAAAATTTTTGTAAATATAAAATGAGAATAGAAAACGAAATGATTACCGAACAGACTCGTATTGATTGGAAAATAATTTTATAAATTTTAATTATTAAATTTATAAATTTTTCCATCCATAATTATTTTTGAAAAATATATTTTTCAAATTAGTAATTTTCCTATTCAGTGTTGTGCCCTCTCTCCGGTTCCGTGGGACTCACCCACAACACTAGCACATTTTAAGAGGTGTGGCCAGGACGGAGCAGTCAAACTATTAAAATTTAAAAAAATTATATATATATATATATATATATATTATTAATTAATAAAATAATTTTAATTTAAAATATTTTGTATTTTTAAAATTTAGTAATTTGTACCCTCTAAATTATTTACATTATAAAATTTTAAAAATAATTTTTAAATTAAATTTTATTAAATGTTGATATATTTTATTCGTTATATTTCTATATCATTTAAAATTACTTGTATTGTTTTATTTGTTTCTATTTGTTATTATTCTTATTTTCTGTTTATATATCATTTATGTTTTTCTTTCTTCTTTCTTTTATAAATCATACTTTAATTTGCTTATGTATCTTATTTTACATTTATTCTTGTTTATTCATTCGCTAGAAATAGAAATATTGTCTATTTCAACATGACATTCTTAATATAAATTAATAAAATTTAAAACCACTTGTT